GTTCTAGGGAACCTGGGGCAGAAAGTTTACAGGTCTGAGTTCAAAGGTACGCAGGACTACATAAAGAAAGTGTGCCATGCCAACCAGAAATACACAGTAAGATTCTTTATGAAAAAAAAAGATAATAACAATAATAAACTTCACTAGAGATTTATTCAGTGAAAATTTGGGGTATGCCTTATGGTCTTTTTTTTTTTGGTAAATTCAAACTTATATAGAATATAAGGGACCCAGAGATTCAAAACTGTTTCAAGCATTTGAAACTCACTGCCTGTTTGTCACTTGCAGACACCTGCTGTGACTACACAGCACAATTACATTACATCTGTGTTTCTTATTCTTCTATTTGATTTATTGCAATCTCAGTACATGGGGCAATGAAATACTGGACCCAACTCACAGGAGACATCACTTCATCTGAGTGCTTTCTAACTCTAGAGACACTGACCTAGAAATATCTTGAGGGTGAATACTGTATCTATTTAACTCATTAATTGGATGGATTGGGGATGGTAAGGGAGGTATACAAGCTACTTGAGACACAGACAGAACTAGGGGCTTAAGAGATGGATCAGTGGTTAAGAGAACTCGCTGCCTCTCCAGAGGACCAGAGTGTGGTTCCCAGAACTCATGTCAAGCAGCTGGTCTTATTAGGAATTCTTAAGCTTGTGGGAAAATTATTATGAGTAATTGCTATATTTTCCTTTCCTTTCCTTTTGACAAAAATGCGAGAGTTTGGGAATAGATGTCCCACTCTTCAATGTCTCTGCACTACCTCTGCAGAGGATGTACAGAGAATACAGCAGCAGGGTGGGGAATAAGGTCCAGCAGGTTGGTAGGAGATGGTGAATAGGGTAGGAGAGTGTGTTGACTTGCTGGAGCAACTGTTGGAAAAAGTCTAAGAGAAAAGTGAGGTGACAGAAAGAGAAACAGAGAGTAATGTGTGACAAGCCAGGGGGAGCTGACACTGAGTCTAGAACATTCACTGGCCTGGGAAAGGGAGGAGACAGGTACTCAAAGATAGTTTTAATAGGTATTTCCTGAAGGTTTGAGACTGCATCAACAGGAATAAAGACGAAAGGGAAAGAAAATCTGAGACTGTAAGTGATACACCAACTTTAATCCTTTCTGATCAGAAAGGTTTTGTAAACATCTCCCAGGAGTAGTAGTGTTTTTCTTACCTCCAGAAACACACCTCCTTGCAATCTCCCAGAGAATGAGTCCAAAACTGTACATGTCAGCCATGATATAAGACTGGAAATGATTTCTGTTCAAGCTCTCATCCAGCACTTCTGGAGGCATATAGCGCTTGGTGCCCACTCGTGTGTTGGGTGGAATGTCAACCTCGTTTGTATCACTGAGGGAAAGCAAAGGGAGGCATCGTCAGCACTGGAGAGGCCGCTCTAGCTCTCTGCAAGAGCGTGTCAGAGGCGATGCAAAGAGAAAAACTTAGAGTGAACAAAAAACATTTCCTCAAAAAATATTTCTCAGTAAAACTTAAAACATTCTAAGATTAAAACATCCAGACCAAGTGCAACTACATGAGAATGAAGCCGCAACACACATAATTATATTAATACAAAAATAAACTCTCAACTATTTTTTAAATATCTAATAAAAGTTGTACACATGCAAACCAAATGCTTGAGATGAAGAGCAAGAGAATCAGGAGTTCAGGGCCAACCTCAACTGTGTAATGAATTTGAGGTCGGGCTGACTTGCAAGAAACCAGTCTCAAAAACTAAATAAACAGTGGCAAATAAATACCTAAAATGTTTTCATTGACATACTATCTGTGTGTGTGTTACAATATATCATTTTTAATCATTAGAATAGTGTAATAGTGGTCCCAATTATGGAATTTTGGGTTTTGGATAGACAAAATTAGAGGAAAGTGGATATCTAAAGGCTCTCATAGTATTCAAGAATATATACCAAGAAAGGAAATCAAGAATCATCTTAGGTTAGGACACCCAAGATTGTATCGGGAAAGCTGGAGATACATTGTAGCCCCAGGGGATGAAGATGATTGACAGCTCCACTCTTACAGATAGGAGGACAGGCAGTGGTTGGTGGATGCGTGGTAAAGATCTATCTCTGCTGGGGAACTGAAAGGTAACTGCTACCAAACGACACCAGTAAGATTGTCTCAGGACTCTACCCCTTCATCTCTAACTTGTTTCCCCGGTAAACAAGTCCGATGGCAAATGGTCAAGGTTCTCAAGGTTGGTCACTTGCAAAACCAGCAGCTCCTCCCACATGTTTGTGATGGCCACTCCCTCTCCCCTTCCTCTGCCACCCGTGTCTCCCAGTAGTATTTGAATAGCATCTTCCCTATGATTAGCAGAAATTATCTCCAGTAGAAGTATTTGAATAATTATCTAACAATGTAAAGACTTTAAGTTCCTGTAAGCCCTGAACGTCTGCTGCAGTCATTTGGTATGGCCCTGAAGATGAATGCTCCAGTTCATCTTCACTCGTTACACAGCTTGCACACAGTAGGAAGAAAATGAACTAGGAAGAGTGAAAAGGCCTGCTAACAGTAACCTTTGCTATGGGTAATTTAAAAGAAATGTGAAACTGTTATGGAAAAACCACAAAAAATGAATTGGAATTAGTATCCAGACAGACAGGTGGGGTTTCATTGGCCAGATTGATTTTGTGAAATATTATTATTAATCTTATGGTCAATGCTTTTAGCACCACATTTAAACAGCAAACATGCTCATTATAAGGAACTCCTTCTGGATACTAACAGATTTCATATTCTCTAAGCTAGAGCTCTGTATCTTTCCATTGGGCATGTTTCTATGTACAGAGGATCAGGGACTTTGCTGTGAGATTGTATCTCTAGGTAACATCAGAGGCTGTACATCAAGCATGAGCTGAACAAGGGTGACACCAATGAACATGTTAAACTGGGTGGGGAAAAAGCCCAGGGAACCATGAGCCATACATAGAGAAGTACAGGCAACTGAGGAAAGTTGGGAGCAGGAGAAGTGGTCCTCCCTAGGATAGAGTATACCAATCGGTTGTCAAGTTCAAACTGTCCATTGGGAAAACACACAAGTAAGACTATATGGACTCAATAGGTCATATTTAGGAATATTTATGCTTATAACAAATATATACATAAAATAACAATCAGTGGAAAAGGGGGCAAATATATTTTGGAGAAGAGTAAGTAGGGTATATTGAAAGGATGGGAGGGAGAAAAGAGATGGGAGCAATGTTATGATTAAATTGTAATCTCAAAAATAAAGCAAACGAAAGAAAGTAATGATGGGCATATTATTAAAAAAAGTGCAGGAGTGGAGAGAACAGCTCCAATACACAGAGTAATGCAGATTTCACAGTGGCTGCATGCATGAGTCATCAAAATCATAAGACTGTACACACAAAATATAAACAGGATATTGGTTACTTCTGGGAGACATAAAAGGAACAAAATATGGAAGGGAACAAGATTATTTATATTCAACATTTGATTTCTGGTGGAAAGACTAGAGAAAATGAGGCAAACTGTTATCATTTGTTAATATTCAACTGTAACAATTTGCCCTTTGAAATGTCTTATTTAAGTTTATATCATAAATATAAATATGCATTATTAAATATATCAAGAGTATCTTTAATACAATCTATTAGGGTCAATGACTGGAAAGTGTATATTTCAAGGACTAAGGATACAATATAGGCATAAGACCCTGAAGTTCAAAAGTGATTTATTAGATAAAATTAGCTAAGAAAAATGCATTTATGATGAGAACTGAAAATACCCTGTCATAAATGTGGGTCCTGCATTAGATATTAGGGAAATATGAGCTCTTTAGCTTTCCCATGGAGAAAGGTGGGAGGTTCTCTTTGCCTTTCCTGTGGAGAACAGTGGGGTTAATCCCAGAGGCTGGTGATGGAGGCAGAGGCTTTAGAGGAATAGACTGTTGAGGTTATAATTTCATAATTAGTATTCCCACTAGACCCAACCAAGCTCTTGTTCTTCTTAATGTGTGTACCAAGGGGTTATAAACTTAGAGTTAGAAAATAAATGTAATTTGAAGATTAATAATGTTGATGCTAAAGCCACCGCTCTCATCTTAAAGCGAACAAGGGGTAGTTTATTCTGACTGATAACCCAGGAACAAAAGTTTAGGTTTTCCCAAATCCCATGTTCCAATGTGGAAGTGGTTACATTAAATGTTGCAGTTTGCAGAACAAAGAAAGGCATAAATCAAGGCACATTTAAAATGCAGTAGAAGGTACGTCAAAGAAGGCGTTACCGCAAGACAGGGGAAGGTTTTCTTCAAGTGTGTGAGAAATGTAAAGAAGGTATGTCAAAGAGGAAACAGGCTCCTGAGAATCCTGTCAGAATGTTCCAAATATAAATGCAGAGAGATTAGAGTTTTTTTTCTGCTTTTGATTTTTCTCTTGAGATTTGATTTTTTTTTTTTTTTTTTTTTTTTTGAGATTTTTTTTTTTTTTGAGATTTTTTTTTTTTTTGGAGAGGTTTCTTCTCTGTAAAGCCTTAGCTGTCCTGGACCTGCCTCTGTAGACCAGGCTAGCCTTGAACTCAGAGATTAGGCTGCCTCTGCTTCCTAAGTGCTGAAATTGTGTGGGTGTGAGGGAACCAGGCCCAGGGTCTGAGAGCAGGAGAACTGGCCACACCCCTTGCTGCCTGCTGGCCATAGTAGAACTGCCCCTGCCCCTCACTAGCTGTTGGATTCTGGAAAGTGGGGCCTGCACCATGCCTGGGCAACAAAGTAGAGCTGGCCCTAACCCCTTGCTGCCTGCTACAGTGGGTGACCTAGCTGGGACAGTGATAGAGAGCTTGCTCTGGGGGAGGAGGATGGGAGAAGAGCTGGCAGCTGACAAACCCAACTACCACATAGGCCCAGAAACAGAGATATGAGTTGGTTCACCCTGACATCTATGAACTGCTGGAGCACATGAAAGGGCCAGTCCTGCAGTTCCAAAACTGCAGGATCTCCATGACTCGGGGCAACAAGAGGATATCCAAGAGGAGCCCAATGAGGATAATAAATGACACTCAGTATCATAGCAGACCAACGAGCATCTGTAAGTAAAGATGTGTGGCTGACTCACTGTGCCACATAACAGCTTCCATGACGAGATTTTTTTCCCCTCATTTTTATTTTATTTTACTTTGGGGGGGCAGTTAAAGGGGCAGGAAGTGGATATGAAGGGTTGGGGAGATGCATATTGTTCTGATGCATGAGGTGAAGTCCACAAAGAATCGATAAAAAAGTTTAAATCCATAAAAAGTTACTTTTGCTTAAACATAAAAGGAGATTTGCAGGGATGGCAGAGGGCTTCCTAAGTGCTTAGATCATCTGGTTCTTCTAGACCAGGATGAAGAAGAGTAAACGAGAATTCTCCTGGCTCTTGCTTCTTGTAGGAAGGGAAGCAACGGGAGGAGGGAACTTGACACTATGTGCCAGGCAAGAGAGCAGAGAAAGACTGGTCATGATGAGACACGAGCAGCACAGGAAGGTGCCAGGCAAGACTTTGCCAAGAGGATCAGGGCAACCAAGCACACAACTGGGAAATGCATGTTACCCCTGGCTTCATTTAGAGTGCTGTCAGGGGTGGGGGGGTATAAACAAAGATTGAAACCTTAACTGGCTTCATTCTCTCAGGACAGCCAGAGCACTCCCCCACCCCCCCC